GTGTGGATATTTCAGAATTAACCATCTGGAGAACTTCGCTGGAGGGAAAACGGGAGTTTGGCTTCTGAGGCGACTGGATTAAAATAACTCGGTGACGAGGCTGTGATCCCAAATCTCTGCATTCCATGGGATACGGAAAGGGGGAGGGTGAAGGTCGGTGGGCTCAGCTTGGAGAGCAGCAACAGGAGAGGGTTCAAAGCTCGTCCTGCCAGCTCCAGAAAAACCCATTTTGCACAGGATCCCCTGGGAAATCCCCTCGGAAAATAATAAACGGCACGAAAAAGAACTCTCCAGTCCAAGGAGGATTTGCTGCTGGAATGATCCCAGGGCATCGTTACCCTACAACAAGGCTCTGGTGGCACCAACCACCCCGAAAGGTCTCCCTGCAGCCAAGGCTCTTCCCCGCCCAAAGCTTTTCCATGGAAGTCTCGGGAGCACAATGTGGGTCCGAGCCCTTCTGGCTGTGGAGGAGTTTCCTCCTTTACAGTAAAAGAGCATTTAAAAGTTTCCTGTCGCTCCCGGGGGGGCGGAGGGTCCCTGCAATCTACGGCTGGGTTCATTGTTTGATTCCACCTTTTCCGGCCTCCGGCTGGAACAGGAACCCTCGGAGCTCCGTGGCCCTCCTGGGGCTCTGTACCCACAGATTCCAGGGGTTTCTGTGTCCCTTTATCCCCCATTCCAACACCGCACAGGGATGGGGGTGCTCCCGCTGCCACAGCTCTGGGAGCCAGCGCTCCTCCATGTCCTGGATATTCCAGCAGGGATCTGTGCCAGCTGCACGATTAACTATGGTTGTTAATGCAGAAAATGCACCTGCTTTCCCATGTGTGCCGAGCCCATTCCCAGGAATATCATATACATGTTTATCTGTATTCCCACCCCAGCAGTCAGGCCCCTTCCACGCACAGACGGGGAAGCTCCAACTTCCCAAAAAAACTTCCCAATGCCGTGACTTGGAGAGTGAGATGGGGACAACCGAGACCAAAGTCCTTTTGCTCCATCACTTGGTGGTCCAGGCTGGGAAAAGTCTGATGAGGAGCAGCTGAGGGAGCTGGGAATGCTGGAGAAAAGGAGGCTCTGGGGGGACCTTCTTGCTCCCAAAAACTCCCTGACAGGAGGATGGAGCCAGGAGAGCCAGACTCTGCTCCCAGGGAACAAGAGAGAGGATGAGGGGAAAGGCCTTAAAGTTATGCCAGGGGAGGTTTAGGTTGGATATTGGGAAAAATTCTCCCCAAAAGGGTTGTCCAGCCCTGGAGGGATGTGAAAGCTGTGTGGATGTGGCACGTGGGGACACGGGTTAGTGGTGGCCTTGGCAGTGCTGGATTAACATTGGACTCGATCTTAGAGGGCTTTCCCAAGCTAAATGATCCATTATTCCATGATTCTTTGATTCTATTACTCTATAATTCCATGATTCCGTGATTCTGTGATTTGCTGACTCCGTGACCTGGGCTGTCACTGAGCTGAGCCAGTGATTCCTTGGCACAAAAGTTCCCTGGATCCCTCTCATCAAAAAAAGCCCCAAACACAACAACTGATTTTTTTTTAAAAAAAAAATCCCTAAAAGATGCAATTTCTGCCCATTTTTCCTCATTGCACCACGAATTTCAGCACAGACTCCGATTTGGGATGACATTCCCAGGGCATTTGGGTTTGGGGCCAGGCTGGGCTGGTCCTCCCCATTCCTGGGATTCAGGGATGCGGTGCCATGGGATACCCCTTCCCTGCCAAGGGAGTGGGACCCAGCAGGAGGGAGCCGGGGGGGTCCCTGCAGGGCTGGGATGGGGCCGGGCTGGGCACAGGAAAGGCGGGAATGCGCGGGAAGGATGCGGGATGCGGGAGCGCGCGCGCGGGAGGTTGCCAAGGTAACCTCCCTCCTCCTCCATCTCCGGCCTCCCTCGGGCGGGGGGACCCCGCGGGGACCCGCAGGGGATCCGAGGGCGGGGTGCGGGATGCGGGGAGGGGGGAGGCCGGGCTGCATCTCCCGCCCGCCGCAGCGCCGGGAATTGGCCGCGGGATCGGGAGGCTCCGCGCCGGGGGATGCTCCGGCTCCTCGCCGCAGGGCCCCGCACCCTGGAGGGAGGAGGGTTCGCCTGCTGCGCTGTTTTTCCATCGGAAATCCAGAGCCTGGACGGGAAACTCGCGTTCTACTTGTCTTTAACGCGGAGCCGATGCCTGCGGCGTAGGGATGCGGGAGAGGAGGGAGAGTCTGTGCGCCCATCCCCGCTCTGCCTTTCGCTTTAAAAGGTCCGGATCCTCCCGGTCATCTGACTCAGGTCAAGCAGGACTTTCCGTTGCCAACAGCCGGCAGATCCCACCGGAGCATCTCCCCGCGCCGGCTGCTGCCCCCCGGGAGGGAGGCGGGAGGACCCTGCGATCCCTGGAAGACTGAGAGGTAAAATATTCCCGACTCGGTTTCTCCTTCTCTTTCCTTCCCCCGCAAGGTTAATGAAATCCTGGAGATTTGCGGGGGTCTGTGGAGGTGGATGGCGTTGATTGCCAGGCCATGCCAGCACTGATTGCCAGGCCATGCTGGCACAGATTCCCAGGCCATGCCGGCACTGATTCCCAGGCCATGCTGGCATTGGTTCCCAGGCCATGCTGCCCGGTTTGCCACTGGCAGCTGGGGAGCCCCACACATGGTTCATGCCCACCCCACCCCACAGCCCCTGAGATCCCAAACAGCCAGGATGCTCCGGCCAGGAGAGCCCACTGAGACCCCAAACAACCCACAGAGCCCCCTGAGACCCCAAACATCCGGGATGCTCCGACCTGGAATGTCCCAAGACCCCAAACAGCTGGGATACCGTGACGTGGACAGTGATGCCACTGCCCCTAGGAGCGAGGTGAAGGTGTCCAGGCAGGGCAGGGGGCTGATGGAGGCAGCCAGGGGGCCATGACTGGAGCTGCCCAATCCAAGGGGGACAGCCAGGGACTGGGCTTGGATGTGCCACGCACCACAGCTCTCACCCCTTCTCTCTGCCCGTGCCCTGCCCGCAGGCCGGCCCCCCATGGATCACCTCCCGGCATGAGCACCGACGCCGAGCAGCTCCTGGCAGGGGCCCGGGCGGCCGCCGTGCCCCTCTGGACCGTCTCCAGCTGGGCCGGCTCCGAGATGCCCCCCAACAGCAGCGCGGCGGCGGGAGAGGCCGGGCGGCGGCAGGGCCCGGCGGAGCAGGGCGGGACGGCGGGCGAGATCGCGGGGATGGTGGTGATCCAGTGCATCTACGCCCTGGTGTGCCTGCTGGGGCTGCTGGGCAACTCCCTGGTCATCTTCGTCATCCTGCGCTACGCCAAGATGAAGACGGCCACCAACATCTACCTGCTCAACCTGGCCATCGCCGACGAGCTCTTCATGCTCAGCATCCCCTTCGTGGCCACCTCGGCCGCGCTGCACCACTGGCCCTTCGGGCGGGCGCTGTGCCGCACCGTGCTGGGCGTGGACGGGCTCAACATGTTCACCAGCGTCTTCTGCCTGACGGTGCTCAGCCTGGACCGCTACATCGCCGTGGTGCACCCGCTGCGCGCGGCCACCTACCGCCGCCCCAGGGTGGCCAAGATGGTCAACGGCGGCGTGTGGCTCCTCTCCCTGCTCGTGGCGTCGCCCATCCCCGTCTTCGCCGGGACGGCGGCCACCCGCGACGGCCAGGCCGTGGCCTGCAACCTGCTGTGGCCCAGCCCGGCCTGGTCGGCCGCCTTCGTGGTGTACACCACCCTGCTGGGCTTCCTGCTGCCCGTGTCGGCCATGGGGCTCTGCTACCTGCTCATCGTGGGCAAGATGCGGGCGGTGGCGCAGCGGGTGGGCTGGGAGCAGCGCCGGCGCTCCGAGGGCAAGCTCACCCGCCTGGTGCTCATGGTGGTGGCCGTGTTCGTGGTGTGCTGGATGCCCTTCTACGTGGTGCAGCTGGTCAACCTCCTGCTGCCCGGCCGCCTGGACGCCACGGTCAACAACGCCTCGCTCATCCTCAGCTACTCCAACAGCTGCGCCAACCCCATCCTCTACGGGTTCCTCTCGGAGAATTTCCGGCACTCCTTCCACGGCGTGCTGCGGCGCTGCCTGGACGCCAGCCTGTGCTGCTGCCACGCCGGGGACAGGGACGGCGACGAGGACGAGGAGGAGGAAGAGCCCCTCGACTACTGCGCCGTCCCCCGGGGGGACGACAAGGGCAAGGGCTGCGTGTGCCCCCCCCTGCCCTGCCAGCAGGACCCCCTGCACCCCCAGCCCTGCTGCAAGCCCGGGCCCCTCCTCACAAAGACCACCACCTTCTAGGGGGGGCCCCCCCGCGCCGTGCCAGCCCCGGGGGTGGAAGGGGATCCCGGATGGAGAGGGGACGGACGCCGTGCCCGCCCCGCCGGCCCACCCTGTGCTGTGCAGTTCCCCAAATAAAAAGCCATAAGACTGGCCTGGGATACCGTGAATTCCATCGACCGAGTCGTTATTGCTGGGATCGGGGATGGGAAGGATCCCAAAACGCCACTGGCGTTTATTAACCTGCCCCTCCAGATGAATAAATAACAAGTTCCTGTTCCTTCCCAAGACATGCCCTGAGAGACAGGGAAAAGCCCCAGAGCCCGTCAGCCCTGCCAGGCCTACAGCCGAGTGAGGTCCCACCAACAGTCACTCCCACTGCCCCTCAGATTCCCAGGATTTTAGCACTCATAGGACCAAACCATATTTGATGTACCAAATCTTGGCTAAACTTGAGACCCCCAGGAAGTCGGGGTGAGGAACAGCACGGGGGTAACACCAAGGTCACATTAAATGAGCCATTTCCAGCTTAATTTGGGTTTATTTTGGGTATAACTTTGTCCTTTTAATGTTATTCTTGTCCATCATTTACGGCTCATTCCTTCTATTTTAATCCCACTGGGGAAGTAACCAGCCGGGCATGTTTTCAGCCCCGAGTGCTCCCGGGCTTTTTTGGTGGCTCTGGGAGCTCAGTGAGGAAAACCAGTCATTTTTTTTTGGGGAAGGGGAGAAAGAATATTTCCTGAGCAGCTTTCTATAAACCAGACTGTAAAAGCTTTATTTGGTCTCCACGCAGAATCGCTGCGTGACATCACGGAGGGTATAATTCCAATAAATAAATAAGTATTTACAAAACGTGCCGGGGGTATAAAACAGGGGGCTGAACCTTGGGGAAGGAATTAAAGACATCTGCGTGTCTCAAACGCTGCTAAGGCACTTTTCGTAGGATTAACCACCACAGGGGGAATTTGAGCCAAGCACGGAAGGGGAGGAGCAGAGTTTTTGGGGGTGTGGTGGCAGAACCTCTGACCTGCGTAAGACACCGGAGGGCGACCACGACAAACAGACTTGGTTGAAGCAACAAGCTGAGAGGTTTGAGCCAGACGAGGGAAAAGGCCAGGAAGGAGCAGCTCCTGCAAGGTGGGATGATGCTTCTTGTCACAGCAGTGTCCTCCCCCCCCAGGAGCTATCCCATAAACCAGGAGTTGCTCATCCCTTCTGACAGGGCATAACTGGCTCAGGGTCAAACGTGGTCACGTCTTAGAAGGGGTCATAAACCATCAAAGACCCCCGAGGTGCCCCCAGACTCATTTCTGGGGCTCCCTGCAGAGGGCTGTGTGTGATCCACGGCGTTGGATCAGGCAGGGGAGGTACCCGGGTGTTCCCACCTGAGCCTGAAGGTGTATTAACCCTTGGAGCTTTTGTATTTTGGGGGCTTCCCCCACCCCTGATGGATCAAGGCTGTGACCATCACACATCAAAATGGCAACAGTGAAGTCCCATCATGGGTGGGATCTTTCTACTGTCTGCTCTTATCCTTCTTTCTCTTTCTTTCTTCTCCTTATATATTTTCTTAAGTGGCTCCTTTTATATGTTGATATTGCTCCATTTCTATAGATAATGCAAACAGCTCCATCCCTCCTTTCCATTGCAAGCAAATTGTTCCAAAATAATCCTGCCACAGACTTATATTTGCAATAAATCATTCCCTCTAATTGCCTATTGACAGGACCCTCAGTCACCCGACCCCGGGGGCAACAACCTTTTAGGAAACCCACAGTTCACACAACTATTTTGATTTTCCTTGGAATTTGAATCGTATGTTCAGCATTCCAGGGGGGATGTTGCATGATAGCGAGTTCATAGTATGTGGGAGGGGGTGTGGGGGGGAACAGAACCCCCCCAGTTCTGACCCTGGGCCCGCAAAACTTCCTGTGGGAAAGCAAACTGCTGCTCTGGGATGATATTTCACTGGTATAAAGCTGTCAGCACCCGCTCCCACATTCCCACCAGCAGCCGCCGGCTTCACCCCACCATGGCTGCCGGAGCAGGACCCCCATGGAATGAAGGAGCTGGAAAAACACAGCCTTTTCCAGATTTTCCCCCCCAGGCCGTGGCTGGAAAGTAGGCAGCGGGCGGGATCCTGCCCCCGTGGGAATGTTTTGCTGTGAGTTCCAGCATGGATTAAACTCAGCCTCGGTCAAGGGAAAACAGGAAAAATCCCTCTGGGCAGGAGGGGTCGTGAGTGGGTTTGTAAAAACACCTTGAATCGGTTTGAATGCAACCAGGGTGGGAAATCGGGGAAGGAATTGGGTGGGGAACACGAGGCTCCGCGGTGCCGCAAACCTTCCCTGCCACGGAAAAAAACCCACCCCGGCAGTGTCGTGTCCCTGTTTAACCTCCACACACCCCCCCAGAGAGCCCCAAAATAACTTGAGGGAACAGGAATCAGGCATTTTAGTCGTGTGTCCCCCCCGGGTGACACTCAGTTGGGTCACCGCTGCCACCAGTGACTTAAGGTGGAAAGTGCTCGGGGATGAGGCACGACATGGGGGGGACACGGTGCAGACACGGGGGGCAGAGGGGCCACATAAAGTGCTGCCCACATCATCTTTGCTCCTGCTTCCATCGGCCATCAGTTTAAAACAAATTAACCCGACTCCAGACAAAGGCAGGAGCTTCCCAATCCCGGAAAACCATCCTCTCCAGCCTGGCCCGAGGGAGAGGGGTTGGGGGCCGGGCGACCTTCCACAGTCCCCACCGAGTCAGTCAGACGGTCCACGCGGATTTAAGAGTCAGTTCCAGACGGAGTCGTCCCTCCTGGGTTTTTCCTTGGGGCTTTTCCCCACCACTGGCTCGGGAAAAGGAAAGCTGAATGCCGGCTGCCGCCTGCGAAGGGAGCGGGAACGGAGCGGGAATGAACGGAGCAGGAACGAACAGAGCAAGAACGGAGCAGCCTCCGCGCGTTCTGCCTTCCTGGCTCTCTGGCGCCAGTGTTCCAAGAGCCGGCTGGAAAGCAGCGAGTATTTTTAGAAGTGGGTTGATCACAGCTTTTCGCAAATTGTCATTAAAAAATTGCAGCAGGGGCGAGGTGGGGGGGTTGTAAATATTACCCAGTTCAGTCCACCTCCCTCTCTCCGCCCTGCCCGCAGTCCCTACAGTTTCTGTGCGGGGCCGGCACAGCCCGAGGCGACCGGCTGGAGCCCGAGCTCCTTCTCGTGGGGGCCCCCGCACTTGTAATCCATGGTGGCGGGGGGCCGGCAGCGCTTCTTTGCCAGGTGGTAGCCCAGAGCCAGCAGGGCCAGGGCGGTCAAAACGGCGCCCACCGCGATGCCCACCAGGGCGCCGGGGTGGAGCGGCTCCGCCTTCGGTGGGGTCCGGCTGGGCGCGGGCGTCCGCGGGACGGCCGTGTGGGGAGGGAGCGTCTGGGATTCGAAATCCCCCGAGAACGGCGGTCCCTCCGCGTCCTGCTCCGGGAGCGGGGCGCAGTCGATGTCGTTGACGAGCCGGTAGCCGGCGGGGCAGTGGCACCGGTAGCCGCCGGGGTGGTTGGTGCAGTTGTGCTCGCAGTAGTTCATGTCGCACTCGTCGATGTCCACGCAGAGCTGGTCGTCGTCCAGCAGGAAGCCCTCGGGGCACTCGCAGCCCTCGCCGTACTGGTCGCACAGGGGCGGGCACTGGCTGTCGCTGCAGTGCATCTGGCACCGCGCGGGGTCCCGCGGGTCCACGGCGTAGCCGTCGTAGCACCCGCAGCGGTACCCGCCGGGCACGTCCTCGCAGCTCTGCTCGCAGGGCGCCCTGTAGCAGTGGGACTCGCGCTGGCAGTGCCCGTCCACCATCCTGTAGCCGGGGTGGCAGCGGCACTCGAAGCCGCCCATGGTGTTGACGCAGAGCTGCTCGCACAGCCCGGGCTCGCTGGCGCAGTCGTCGTTGTCCTCGCAGGAGCTGCCGTCGGCGCCCAGGTGGTACCCGGCGTCGCACATGCACACGAAGGAGCTGCCGGACACCACGCAGTGCTGCTGGCACGGCGCCCCCGCGCAGGGCGAGCGGCACCCGCGCCCGTCGGGGCCCAGCACGGCGCCGTCGGGGCAGGAGCAGCGCGGCCCGCCCGCGCCCTCGCCGCAGGCGCCCTCGCAGCCGCCGCCCCCCAGGCGGCACGGCCACGCTCCGGGCTCGGCGCGGCCCCAGCGCAGCCGCCCGCCCTCGCCGTCCTCGTCGCAGCGCAGCTCCAGCCCCAGGGCGGGCACCGAGGCCACGCTGCGCGGCGGCAGCGCCAGGAACTCCCCTCCGCGGGCGCCGAAGGGGGTGGTGTAGCTGACGGGGAGCCCCTCGGCGGGCGGCAGGAGCGGGCAGCTGCTGCCGTAGTTGTACTCGCAGAGGAAGCCGTCGGCGGGGTCCTCGCAGCGCCGCTCCTCCCAGCGCAGCTCCCGCGACACGGTCACGCAGCGCTCGCCGCAGCGCGGCCCCGACGGCGCCCAGTTGGTGTAGTCCGTGCGGTTGTCCTCGGTGACCCAGCGGAAGCCGCGGAGCCGCCGGGCGGGCTCGGTGCAGCGCAGGGAGGGCGCCAGGCTGAGCCCCAGCCACAGCCGCCCGCCGCGGTTCTGCAGCAGCAGCGCGATCGCCTCCTCGGCCACGGTGGAGCGCACGGTCATGAGGTGCCCCCCGCCCCGCTCGCACCCCGCGCTCGCCGCCGCGAACGGGCGCGACCCCCAGAACACGGCGAAACACGCGTGCTGCAGGCACTGCGCGCCCGACGGGGCGAGCGGCTCCGGCTCCCCCGGCTCGCCCGGCGCTCCCAGCCCCATCCCGAGAAGCAGCAGCAGCGGCAGCAGCGGCAGCAGCGGCAGCAGCAGCGGGAGCCGCCGCATGGCCGGCGGAGGGGGCGGCCGGCGCCGCCGCGGAGCTCTGGCATGGCCGAGCCCGCCGCCCGCCGCCTTTATAGCCGCCCGCCCGCCCGCCCCGTCGGGGGAAGGAAGCGCCTCGGGGGACGGGGAGTGATTGCGGAGGGTGAATCCCGGCCAGACGCGTCCCGTCCCACCCGCCCACGCCGGCCCCGGGCCCCCCCCCCTTCCCGCATCCTCCCCACGGCTCCTCCCCGGCTGGTCCCGCCCGGGAGGAGCGGGAGGGGCGGGAGCCGAGCGGGGTATCCCGCGGGATGGACGGGGGCACGCGCCGGGGAGCGGGCTGGGGCCGAGCGCGACCGGGAAAAACGGGGGTTCTCCCGGTGCCAAGGGGGAAACAGCGACTGGGTTTCACAAAAGGGCGCCTCGGGATGGGAGTCAGAGCGGGTGAACCCCGCTGGGATCGTCATCACCCCAACGGGATCATCATCCCAATGGGGTCATCACCCCAATGGGATCGTCACCCCGGTGGGATCGTCACCCCAAATGGGATCGTCACCCCGTTTGTGCAGCAGCCACAGCGTGGCAGCGGGCCCAGGGCAGTGCCCGTCCCCCTGTGCCGGGCACTGCTGAGCTCACACCTCAAATCCTGTCTCCAGGTTTGGATTCCGCGTGAAAACAAGGACATTGAGGGGCAGGAGTGTGTCCAGAGAAGGGAACGGAGCTGGGGAAGGGGCTGGAGCAGTAGGAGAGGCCGAGGGAGCTGGGGGGGCTCAACCTGGAGAAAAGGAGGCTCAGGGAGGACCTTCTCGCTCCCAAAAACTCCCTGACAGGAGAGGGGAGCCAGGTGAGGGTCGGGCTCTGCTCCCAGGGAACAAGAGACAGGATGAGAGGAAACGGCCTCAGGCTGTGCCAGGGGAGGGTCAGGCTGGATATTCGGAAAATTTCTTTAATAAATAATGTAAACAGCAATAATAAATCAATATATATGTATCTATGCCAGTAAATTATTATAGATAATTTGTATATCGATATCAAATTTTATAATTATAATAATTGCTATTAGTCTTATTAAGCATTATTATTATTACCCTTTTCCCCACAGCCTCCTCCCGGGGCACCAGGGGTCCCACTCCCAGGGTATCATCTCCCTTTCCCTGTGGGCACCTCCAGCTGTCCCATTCCCTGTGTTATCTTTGGGGGATCTGTCTCTGCTGCCAGGACACAGCCAGGAGGCAAAGTAAAAATGAAAACCAAACATCCAAAGCTTCTCCGCCCCAAAGGAAAGGTATTTGACCCTTTTTGTTTTTAATTCCTAAAGGCTCAGTCACTGCAATTAACTCTCGGGATCCCCCCAACGGAGCAGCAAATCCCTATTTCCTCGGCTCATCCCAAGGAATTTACTTCATTAAAACTTCATTTATTATTTATTAAACTCCTGTGGTTTGTCTTGTCCTCTTCCCACCCCGTGTGGGTCCCGTAGCTCACGTGAGGCTGTGGGGAAAAGGGCAATAATAATAATGCTTAATAACACTAACAATAAATTATTATCTCTCAGTTCATCCCCTTGAAGGCTTCAGCTCTGCCACACGCTTGGAAAATCAGCGTCCATTGGATTTAATTCCAGAGGCAGGGATGCAGCCCAAGGAGAAAGGCCGGAGGGACAGATTGGTGTCCATGTGTGTGAGCTTGCAGTGGCCGTTCCTGGGATAAAGAATTCATCCAAGGAGAGCTCAGCCACCCCCCATCCCCTCAAAATGAGGACAGGATCATTCCCAGGGCTTCCCTGGAGAGCTGGGTAACACTGACCTTCCTTGGCTTTAGTAAAACCTCTTGCTTCCCCAGTTTTCACTTCAGTTCTTCTTTTCACTTTCAATTCTTCTTCTTTTACTTCTTCTTTTTTTTTTTTTTTTTTTTTCAGAAGTAAACCAGCAAAATGAGAGTGGAATTTCAGGGCAAACAACAGAAAATGAAAGAACACCAAATTTAATAGGTGGAAAATTAAAAAAAAAAAAAAAAGATTTCTGGTTTGTTCCTTATTTTATTTTTTTTTTTAAAGCAACTGTAAAACCAGATTAAAAAATTCCTCGTCAAGGCTGCACGATGAGAAATATTTCCAGGAAAAAATACAGCCCTCCCAAACAATGATCCCACACTGGTGTCCTTGCCCCACCAACAGCATTTGCAGGGTCGACCCTTGCCGCTAAAAAGATAATTGGGGTGGGAGGAACGCGATTAATCATGTTTTAATAATTCCCTTTTTTATTCCGATGAACCTTCCCCTCGGCATTGCCTCCAGCCCGGGGCTGACTCAGGGTGCCAGAAATGCCCTTCCTGCTGTGAGGCGGCTTTTCCTTCCCCCCTCAAACCCATTAATCATGTTCCTCTGCCACACAAAGCTCTTGCGAGATGTTCCCGGAGTGATAACGGGGGACGGAGACCTTTCCCTTTTTCCCTCTGGCTCTGACTCATCCCTGTCACTGTCACCCCGCGGGCAGAGGGACACCGGGAGCGGGCACTTGGAATGGTTGTCCTGACCTGTGCGTGTCAACAGGGGGATTTTTGGCGTCTTTGTGGGGGTTTGGAGATGAGGTTCCTCAGTTGGAATGCTGGCAGTTATCCACGGGGGAATAGAATGCAACGGAATATAAAATAATAACATAATGTAATGTAATTGATATGAAATCATCAAAAATTGTTTCATCCTATTATTTGATCCCTAAAAAGCTGATCTCTACCCTCACAGAGAGCTGTGCTGAAATCAGAGGGATTGCTCACGGATTTAGGACCTTGATCGTGGAATTAGGACCTTGGTCATGGGATTAGGACCTTGATCATGGGATTAGGACCTTTCTTGTGGTTTTAGGAACTTGGTCATGGGATTAGGACCTTGCTTGTGGTTTTAGGAACTTGGTCATGGGATTAGGACCTTTCTTGTGGTTTTAGGAACTTGGTCATGGGATTAGGACCTTGCTTATGGGTTTAGGTCCTTGCTTGTGGGCTTGGGACCTTCCTCATGGTTTTAGGAACTTGCTCACGGGTTTGGGACTTTCCTCGTGGGTTTAGGAAGTTGCTCAGGGGTTTAGGATCCAACCAAGCCCATCCCAGTGCCCCCACACCGTGGCCTTGGTAGGGATGAAGGGAAAGGCCTCGCCCAGGACTGCAGAGCCTGGGAAAGGCTGAGATTCCACGTGGGATGAGCCCTGGCAGAGGATTTGGGAGCACCATCCACTGCTGTGGGAAACACAAGGATTCCAAGTACCAAGCCAATAGATTTTTATGAATATATTTATTAAAAACCATTGAAGACACTTTCTGTTCAGGTTTTATTGGTGTTTCATCTGGAAAGCAACTTACAGCCTTATTCCACAGGTGGGAAAACCTTATCCTTTGAGTCCAAGTGTTTGATTCCAGCCCAGGAAAATAAAACACTCACCTCCATGAGAAAAAAAACCTTGGACCAGGATGAATGTCCTGTATCCTCTGTAAGACAGGGCCCCAAACTATCCAGTCCCATTCCTATTAGCTTTTCCCGTGGGATTCACTGGTCCCTGGACAACTCCCTAAGGAGCACACGGATCCAAAATGGTCCTGCTGGGTTTGTGGCAGGAAGAAAGGGAGCCGTGAGATCATCCAGGTGTGGAATTGCACATCAGGGAATAGTCCACCAGAGAGAACCCAGACTAAAGCCCAGCACAAATCAGTGTCTTCCCAAGGCCGGACCCTCCTCTGTATTCCACTGGAATACACAGAGGTCGTAACAGGAATCGGGATTACCGTTTTTTCTGGAATAAATAACACACCTCGGGTTTGTACCAGCTCTGGTCCCACCCCTGTGCTTCCTTTTCTCTTGTTTATGCTGCTATAGCCAACAATTCGTGGACACCTCAATAAAAATTAAGGCTGTCTTTTCCCACAGATCCCCGAGTCGGCATGATTTGATGTATGTTGGCTGTCTCCCTGATTTTGATGGGGTAATTAATCTGCCTAATTTGTTCGGTGCCTGGCTTGGAGAACACAGACAGGGGAGGGATTTTCTGTAGGATTTCTAAGAATCCCACCGCTGCCTTCTCCCCCTTCTCCAGCCGCCCGTGCAGAGAAAAGAAAGCACAGACAGAACATGGAAAACATTCCTATCAGCTACATTTTTCCTGTGCTGTGTTTTCATCTCACAATGGAGCCCCAAAGACGAAAAAAAATAACAGCAGGAAAGGGTTTTCCTCCATGCTTGGAAGAACAGGATGCAGGTCGCTGCCTACTGCAAACTCCTTTGTGTTCAATTCCCACTCCTGGAGCAATTAAGCCTCAAGGACAATGAACCCAGCAGAAACTTCAGGAAGCTGCTGTACCCTTAAAATCACATGTCTGTTCTTTTCTAGCACCTTTTTGCCCCCGCAGAGCACGGATAAACCAGGAAGGAACACTGCTGGGATGGGATGGGATGGGAAGCAGGTCCCTGTGCCCCTCGGGATTTTGGGAAGGATTCCTGATGAAACGGCTGGGAAGAGGCTTGGTTGTCAGGAGGGGCTCCACGGAGCTGGGGAAGTACCTGGGGAGCACCTGTGCCCTGAGAAAGCATTTGCTGTGGTGGAGTTACAAGTTTGACACATAACAAAGAGCAGATATCCAACATCCAGCGTGCTCCTTATGCAGGGAGGGAGGGAAAACACGCTCAGCCCGGAGCCCAAGCAGCCAGGAAAGGGATCCTACCCAAAAAGAATAATCCAACAGGAAAAGTCCGGCCTCCCATCCGGTTGCTGCGAAGGAGAGCATTGTTTGCTGTGTTTTGCAAGTGGACTTAGGCAGGATACACTGGAAATGGGTAGGTGGCTCTTCCAAACACAGCTTTTCCTACCTTTTTTAGCAGTACAGGTGCTGCCTTGGCCCCTTGCTGAGCAGTTTTCCCAGTGCTGAGGTGACAGATTTTTAATAAAAACCCCAAAATAAAACATTCAAACCCACCCTGTTTGTGTCTGCAGGGGCCAGTTCTCACCTCCCCGTGAGACACATCCGAATTTCAAGCCCTTTTCCAAGAGAACAAAGCAAATCCAAGGGTGGAATGCAGCCGTGAGTGGAAGGGGGGGGGGAACAATGCTTTGGGGATGGCAAAGGACAGGGTGGGGAAGGGCTGCAGGAGAACTTGAAACGAACTGTTTTCCTTTAGGAGTCCGAACCACAGCTGTTAATTTGCCTTTTTGGAGCACGGCGAGGTCCCGAAGAGTCGAGGAGAAGCCCTGGCAGGCAAATCCCACCCCATTCCTCCTCCTCCCCCCGGTTAACTCTTCCCTTGGAGCGGCAGGACAGCACCGCACGGACTCACACTGAACACACAGCATCCCCCCTCCCTTTTATTTCCACTTTCGACCCCCCCGCGCTCCCCGCCTCCCTCCTACCTGCGCTCCCCGCCCTGCCCGCGGCTCTCGGGCTGCTCGGGCACCCAGCAATAATTATCCGCCGCGCTCTTGGCCGGCCGCTTCTCCTTCTTGGCGGCCCTCCTCCTGCAAGCCACGAGGGCCAGGGCGAAGGCCAGCAGGAGCAGGATGGCCACCAGGCTTCCCAGGATGTAATAGAGGAGCAGCCGCGGGCCGTCGGCGCTGTGCTCGTCGGGGCCGGGGGCCGCTCCCTCCGCCGTGGGGGCCACCGGCGTCACCCCGGCGGGCACTCCCGGAGTCCGCGGGATGCTCGTGGTCCGCGGGGCGCCCGTGCTCCGCGGGGTTCTCGCGGTCCACGGGGCGCCCGTGCTCGCTGGGATGCTCGCGGTGCCCTCCGGGCCGTCGGGGACCTCCTCGGCGGGCTCCTCTCCGGCGGTGGCTGCGGCGCGGCAGCCGGGTCTCTCCTCCTCCGGGAGGAAGCCGGGCGGGCACACGCACTCGTAGCCCCCGGGCAAGTTGCGGCAGGGCCCGGGGCAGGGATCCCGCAGGCACTCATCCACATCCAGGCAGGAATCGCCGCCCGGCTGGCGCTGGTAGCCGGGCCGGCAGGCGCAGCGGAAGGAGCCGGGGACGTTGATGCAGAGCTGCGGGCACACGCCGGGCTGGGCACACTCGTCCAGGTCGTGGCAGAGGCGGCCACCCGGCCCCGCCGGGCGGTAGCCGGGCGGGCACAGGCACGCGAAGCCCCCGGGAGTGTTGTGGCACTGGTGCTGGCACGGCCCGGACAGGCACTCATCCACATCCAGGCAGCTCCGGCCGTCGGGGGCCAGGGTGTATCCGGCCTCGCAGCCGCACTCGAAGCCACCCAGGTGGGCCCGGCAGGTGCCCTGGCAGGGGTTGGGATGGCAGGAATCCTCGGGCACGCAGGAGGCCATGTCAGCGGCCAGGGAGTAGCCGGCGTGGCAGGAGCAGCGCGGGGGCTCCCCGGGCACCTCCAGGCAGCGGTGCTGGCAGCCCCCGTTGCGGTGGGCGCAGGCCACGGGGCACAGGGGCCCGGGGGGGTCCCAGGCGAAGCCCCCCCCGTCCAGCGTCCCCTTGCAGAGGGCGAAGGCCGGGCTCTGGCCCCCCTCGCAATCCACCTCCGCCAAGGTGCCGAAGGGCGCGGCCGCCAGCCGGGAGCTGCGCACCCCGAAGGGGGTGCCGTAGGTGACCCGGCCGGGCCCGGCCAGCGGCAGGAGGCCGCACATTCCCTGGAAGCTGAACTTGCAGAGGAAGGCGGGCAGCGGGAGGCGGCAGGGCCGGTCGGCCCAGCCGGCGGGGCCGTGGGGGCCGTGGGGCCGCAGGCTGGCACAGCGGGCGCTCGTGCAGGTCATCGACGGCTCCGACGCCCACGCCGAGAAGTTGCCGGGCGTCCCTCCGGCCACCCAGGAGAATCCCCGCAGCGGCTCCTGCGGCTGGACGCAGTGCCCCCGCTGCAGCCACAGCCCGATCCAGGCCGGGCCGTGCCCCCCGGCCGCCTCCAGCAGCTCCCGCAGCCGCGCGGCCTCGCCGGGGCTGCCCACGCTGGCCAGGTTGCCGCCGTTGTGCCGGCAGCGCTCCTGGGCGCCCTTCCAGTCCAGCTCATCCCGGTGCAGGGTGTAGCAGGCGCTGTCGGCGCACACCACCTCCGCCTCCTGCCCGCCAGAGCCCGGCACCGCCAGCGCCAACAGCAGCAGCAGCAGCATCCAGGCCATCCCTCCGGCTGGACGGACGGACACACGGACACAGGGACTCGGCAACGCCGGCTCACATCCCCTCATCCCGCCGAGCTCACCCTACGCGCATCCTGTGCTCCCGGGTCTCCTATTTATCACCGGAGGCCACGGCTTCCTGTAGCGTGGTTCGGCTCCCGGTTGTTTGTTGGTCCCTCGCTGTCTTCCCCTTCCCCCCGGCACGGCCGGCTCCGAGCTCCCATCCCAAAGTTTCGGCTGCTCTGGCTGGTGACGCTTTTCTACGGGAAAAACTCGCCCCGCTCCTGCTTTTTTTTTTTTTTTTTTTTTTTTGGCTGCTGTTTTTCAAGGGCTTGATTTACTCCCTCAACCCGGCAGACGGTTTTCTAACCCCTAATAGGGTCCGAGAGTTTGCAGGCACGTCTTGCTAAAACGGGGAAGGAAAACAACCGGACTGAGGAGCCGTGGGATCCCTGGCCATCGGCCTCTAAAGCAGACGGAATATTTGGCGCCGTCTCCCCCGCGCACGCGCGACGCTGCTCCCAGTGCATTTTTCCCCTTCTCCGTGTGCTTTAAATAGATGGACGAGCCCTTGGAATAGGAGCTGGGTCGTGGGAAGGTCCGGGCTGCCAGGACAGAGCCGAGCTCTGATGCCACCCTGAGCATCAGTGTTGGCATCACATGGGTGAGGGTGGATCGCGGAATCCCACAATGGTTTGGGCTGGAAGGGACCTTAAAGCTCACCCAGTCCCACCCCCTGCCACGGGCAAGGACACTTTCCACCACCCCAGGCTGCTCCAAGCCCCGTCCAACCTGGCCTTGATGCCAGGATGCTCTGTTAACACCTCCCCGATCACTCGTGGCGGGAGGAAGGCAGGATGGTGTCTCCAGCCACCTGGTGCTTCCCACTGGCTGCTGGGAGCCCCTGGGATGAAGGTGAGCTGCCAGATGCTTTGATGACACGTGTCAAGCGATGCCAGTCACTGGCACACGTGGCACAGCAGGAGGAGGGATAACAAGTGACCAAAATGGGTTTAAAAATAGCTCACCCCTGATGGTCCACCCGCCCTGCTGCATCCCCAGGAGCTTCTCCTGGAGCTTCCCTCTGGCAGCAGCTCGTTCAGGCTTTAACCCCTCGACCTGGGAGTCTGTTGTATCCTTTCCTGCTTGGCAGGCACCCATCACAGCCATGAATTCCCTGCTCATTCCAGGATTTGTTGGTTTATCTGAGGTTTGTGTGCTGAGTTGGCTCAGTAACCAGAGAAAGCAAAATGAGGAACCCCCTTGTCCACTTCCCTCCTAAATAGAAAAGCTGCCAAAAATCTCACTACTAAACACTGCAGATTTCTGTCATTATTCCCCAGACCTGTCCATGTACAGCATTCCCGGGACAGCCCTGGTTGCTGGGATGTCTCCTGGCATCCCCTGTCTGACCAAAGGTCCAGAGATCCACACCTAACACTCCAAAACCAGAGAATTTTGGGTCAGCAGCCACCTCAAAACACTGCAGCGGGAGGGAAAAAACCCACCTTGCTGCCATTTCAACTTGGTTTTATTCAGAATTTCAGAAAGGAGGGCTGGGGGGGGGGATTTTTTTTGCCTTGGAAGGAATAAGAGAGCTCAACACAAAAGCATTTCCTCGCTGCCAGCCCAGGACTGTTATAAAAACACGGCTCGTGTTTTCCCTTTTCAGCTGGTCCCACAAGTCCCAACCAACAAATTACTTCAACAACCCAAAGCAGAATTTTTTTTGCCCACTTTTTCTCCATTCCATGGAGAAAAGAAAAATGCCCATTTTTTAACTATAATTCTTCTGGATGTTCCCAACCTGGGCTTGTGAAAAACCCCCAGAATACTTAAATATAATTTCTATGTGCGGATCCAAGAGGTCATTCCAAGGTAATTAAATAATTGCTCCATTAGGATGTGCAGGAAGTCAGGGCTCCTGTCCCAGGGAAGAACTTCTTTTTTCAAGACCGTGGTGTCTTTTAATTTGCAAAAATAAAGCTAAAAACCTTTGCCAGCGGCTTTACTATATTTTTCTCCCCAATAAATATTTGAATATCCCTGTTTACAAACAGTTCTGTGGACAGGAAACCTCCCCCCCCCATCACTTTTTGGTGAGATTCCCATCTGCAAAACTTGTGCCAGTATTTTTTACCCACAGCTTTGGCAAGAGGGAGGTTTTTGGCGAGTTAAAAACACACTGTGCTTCTTTTATTTTTAATAAATACGCCACGCTCTTTAAATTTCCTTCTCGGCCTGATGGTTTGAGAATCAAAGCCGTGGCTCATGACTTTAAGAAGGGGTTTGTTTCTTGGCTGAACGAGCCCATAAACCCCCTCTTTGCTTGATAATCAAATCCAAATTATCTCGTGGAGAGCAGAATTCCTGCCAGAGGGCACACGGGGCTTAAAATAAAGCAGAATTCAATTAAAAAACAATTTAAAAAGCGGCTTGACGAGGGGACACTGGTTAAAAAACTGCTGCTGGGAGGCTGAAGGAGGAAACGTGTTCTGTGTGTGTGTGTGACATCAGCAGATCCCGAGGGTTGGGATGAGAGACAATGGGGCCGGAGGGGGGGACACCTGGGCCAGCAGCCCACGGAGAAGAATAGGAGGAACTGGGTTTCCTCTGGAGACATCTCCAAGGCCACGGAGCACTGGGCAGCCTGGCAGCCCTGGGAAGGGCACTCTGGACCAGGCAGAGCTTTAATCTGTGAAATTTTGGGAATTTGGGCGGCGTGGAGCGGGGTTGTCCCCCCTGCTAATGCCAAAGGTGCCCCGTTGGATGTTAAAGGTTTTTACTGTGTGCTTTTCAAAGCCGTCAGGGCTGAACAGGACGTTTCCCAGCTGAATGTTTTGGAAGGCGGATGCCCCGTGGCCAGTTTGGGAGCCCCTCGCTAAGAAGGAGGAATTAGCAGGGCTGTAAGTGGGAAGAAAATGCCAAATACCAGGAGCAGGAGGTTTGGTTTATTTAGTTTTTCACCGTTGTTATGGGGGGAAGGCAGCATAGCCACTTTATTCCTCAGGCAGTCCTTGTCCTTGGGGGAAACGTGTGAGTCGTGGAGGAAATCTGTGACTCATATTATATATATATATATGGAAGGTGTCCTTGGAATGGGATGATCCTCAAGGTCCTTTCCAAACCAATCCATTCTGTGATGTTTTTTTGATGCAGTGGGTGAACACCCAGCTGGACAGAAGGAAACAGGGAGTGAGGGGGAAGGAGCAGTGCCCACCCCAAATATCCCGTCCCTTCCAGGTATCTCACTCCCTTTCACGGCAGGAGGGGTTTGCTCCAGGCCTGGGCTGGCATTTTCCACCCTGGCACTGCGTGTCCAAGGACCCTCCCTGCAGCTTTATCAGCTTTTCTCCAACGCTGGAGCAGCTCCCAGGCTAAACCTCCTTATCAAACCCAGGAATTCCGTATCTCTCCCAGATTAAACCCGAGCTGTGTGTGGACCTTTGCTGGTGTTTGGGGTCTCTGCCAGGTGGGAGGGAGCTGCTCTGGGTGTTCTGAGTGGCTCCCATGTGGGTGATGCTGGAAGTCAAGTAAGGACACGGTCCCCGTGTTCCCAAATCCATCTGGGGTTTATCCCCTTTCTCCAGCCCATTTCCCACCCTGCTGTGTGTTTGAACCCAGGAATTCCAAACACCCTCTCTTCCTTTCCATTTGAATACAGTCACTGGGAATTCAGGGAGGAGAAATCCCACTGAACACCCGCAGGCACATCCAGAGCGTGCTTTTAAATTCCTTTGGATTATACGCGGAGCAGACTCTTCCCCAGCTTTTTCCTCCTGGAAGTGGAAGGAGTGGACCACAGCTGGAATGTTAGGCTCTCATAGGCGACCTGGGAGCAGCAGCAGGGCCACCTGGAAAACTGGAAAATCATGACAAAATAAAGCTGGCCCTTTGTCTGCACAGATTTGCTGGCACGAGAGAAGGAAAAGCTCCTCAGATCCTTATGGGAACAGGACAACCATCCTGGGAAGCCTCCCGGGAAGGAAATCCTCACCCCAAGGGATGTTTTGTCTCTTACTTTGTTGTTAAGAGTGGGAGTTTATTATTATTATTTAAATAATCCTAATACTAATACTATTTAACTGAAAAAAATTATTTATTATTTTCATTATTCAATTACAAACAATACAGTGCCTTGAACCTGCTGACTGGGTTGTACTGGGTGGTCTGGTGTTGGGAACGTGGAGTGGAACAACCTCTCCTTGCAGATGGAGTGCATTTAGGAAAACCAGGGAATTAAATGAGCTGCTGTCCCTCCTCCCACTGTTGGGATGAGGGATATTCTCCAACGAGCAGTTCTGCAGGAGTTATGCCATAGCAGGGGGGGAAGGTGAAGGAGAGGACAGATGTAAAACCACAGCCCACACTCCCTCCTTTTAATTTCAGAGGGAGATTTAGGGATATTAATGTTGGAATGGCACCAGGACACCTGGCTAGAGCCCACACCCCTCTGACCACACAAATAAACTCTGGGATTTCTCCAGCCAAACAATCCAGAGGTGCTGGGGCTGGGATTTTGAGCTCAGAGTGGGGATTTGCCTGATGATGATCTGAGACAAAGCTGGTTTTGGGGGGCCCTGGCAGAAAAAAAAAACCCTGCAAAAAACTCCCACTTCAGCTCTGTTGAATTCCCTGTTATTCCCAAATTTTTTTGGTGTCTCCTGGTCATCTGCTTTGCTGGATGAGCCGTCAGGGAATTTGGTAGCACGGGGAGGGTTGTGCTCCTTCTGTTCCTGAAGCCGTGGCTGAGGGAATTCCAACCCACCTTCCCAACCATGGGATTGCCTAAGGAAAGGAAAATCAGGCTGGTTCACCTGTTCCTGCCATTTCTGGCCCCAAAATACAAAGTGGTGAAAGGAAATGGATAATTCCGAAAGGACAGGGAAGGTTTGCACGTTTTCTCCCTGGATTCCTGTGCCTGTTCTTTGTGGGGAGCTGGAGGCAAAGGCAAAATGTGGGGAGAAAACACTTTTTAGCACATTTTAAACTTTTATTTTTGGCACAACTTGGGATTCTCCCCCTGTGCATTCCCATTTTAGCTCATCCCATTCAGTGACAGCATTGTTTCTCCAGTTCAAATGCTCAAAGGGTGTTAAACACTCCGAGCAAGGACTGTGGAGCACTGATATGGATCCTGGAAATTCAGGCATGTGGCAGCTCTCCAGAGCCTGCAGCAGCCCTGGGCCTGATATTTAAACTAGAAAAGCCAAATTTAAATAAAAAACCCATCCTAAACCCACAAAGCATCCGAGGCAGAAGCGAGATAAGCGTGTCCAGGCGAGGATGTGGTTCCCGTGGTTCCCGTGGTTCCTGTGGTTCCCGGCTAAAGCGGAGTCTGTGGGATGAACATCCCTTTTCCTTCCACGCAGGTGCCGTCATATCCCTAATTTTGGGGCATTTTCCACTCTCTGCAGCTGCTTCAAGTGCTGTAAAAATGCATATTAAGCACTGACTGGGAAGAGCAGCAGCAAGGCCGGCTGTGTTCCCACAGGGAGCAGAGAACGTGGATCCTGGATAGCATCTTCTCCAATAAACTTGCCTGAATCCAAGGCATTCTCCTAATCAGTTCTCATTACTGCTGGGCTATAAGACATATTTAATTCCAAATGGCCTTTTCCAGTGTACATTTCCCTGTGCTGGTGGGTGTCCAGCACTGCTCATCCAGAGCCCTCAGAGATGAGCCAAGGTGTCCATCAGG